AGATAGATGTATGTGTATATATATATATATGAGCGCTCTTCGAATCCAAAGACTGAAGAGATTCTGAGATTTTGGTCTGCCTGGGCTCCTGGCGCAAACTTTTTGTGGTCCACTGGCATCGGGCCGCTGACCACCTGAGGGGACGGGAGGGCAAAGCCTCGAGAAACTGAAACCGGGCCCTGGTACCGACTGGTGCCTGTCCACACGTGGGAGAGGACGGCAAAGCTGCGCAAGCTGCCGCCACCGGGAGGGCGTGCCAACGCTCGCTGCGCCGCCAGCCGCGCGGAAAATGACATCCTCAACTCTCCTCAGGAGGAAGGATGCGTCCTGGCTGCGCTCCTCGTGAAATCTCAGCTCATACTCTCTGGTCTTCAACAACAACGAAAGTCTCGGACAGAACCAAAACAAAATGACACCCTTCACTAATTGAGGAAGGGTTGCAAATAGGGGCCTAGCAGTAGCATGTCTATGCATGGCTTCATGGTTGGCTTGAGGCACGGCTGCCCACCGGTTCTGCAGCTCTGCACATGACATTCCCCAACAGCTTTTTTCAGCCGGAGCGCTGCATCTGCCAGCTAGGAAGCTGTGTCTCTTACCGAAATCGAAGACGATTCGCCTCGTGGTCGGTTCAAGGGGGCCCCTCGGGCACGGCCATAAGGGGGCCTGGACATGCCTGGGCTGAGCGCTGCATGCGCAGAAGGTTGCCCGCATCGCCTCGTTGAGACTCGGCCTCGGGAGACGAGCGAAAGCGTAGCAAAGCGTAGCAAAGCGCCGCGCAGCTCGTGGCGTGGAGATGCAAGCCGCTTAAAGGCCGAAAGAGCTCAGCCGCGGACGTCGGACTTCATCAATCGTGCGGCCATGCCGACTCGAGGCTGCTCGAGCGGCCACGGCGGCTCGTCCGCTGCTTCCGGACTGGCAGAGAGCTTTCACCATCACTCCATCAGTGCCAACCGGTTGCAAAGCACCTGGTGCTGCAAGGCTCACCTCCGCCAGAAAGCCGCAGCTCTTTTGAACTCTTGAACATGGCATGGTGCGTCCAGGCCAGGGCTGGGTGCTGTCCAAGTTGCCTCTCGGGGGCGGCGCCATCTGCGCGAGCATGCCTGCACAGTGCGACTTCGGGAGACAGCCTCCAAAGAAGCCCCGGTTGCACCCAGTGAAAACCCCCCGCCCTCCTTGGCCCATTTGTCGGATCATGTCTGAGCCTGAAGCGGGAGAACAACAATGAAAAGGGCACACCGGAGTGGCTGATTGGCGAGCCCAGCCCACAAAATCTTGCACTGTGGACTGCTCCCAATCTTTGCAAAAACATACCAAGGTCCGGGCTGAAGTACCCGGTCGATGGGAGTGAGGAAGACGGCTCCTCGTCTTCGTCGATGTGTCCAAGCAAGCCGAAGTTCCTTTAACAGTGCAGCTGACGCCCAGCGCGTTGTCATGAACTGAGACCTCTCAGTTGCAGGCAGCCGGTCCGAAGTCTCTTCGGCATCCAGCTTTGCCTTTGCGGCGACTTGACATTCCGAGACGCCCGACGGCTGGGTTGGGCTGGGCTCACGGCACAAAGCTCCTCCAAAGAGGGAAGAGCGGCTTGCGGGACCTGCGCCTGGCTCAGGCGATGTGACGGGAACCTCCTCGCCCACTCTCGGGACATCGAAGTGTGTCAGCAACGGGTGGAACGTGGTGGAAGCTTCGAACGGCTTTAAGATTAAGATTGTGCAACGTCAAGTCGGGGAAAAGATACTGTGTGATTGTGATTTAGGATGTCCGTCGGCCTCTGCGACTTCTTTCTCTGCCGCCGGAGGCGTGCTGGGGCGTTGCTCGTAGACAGGAAGCTCGATCCTTACAGCTTGAGAATAGGAGCAGCCCCAACAGCAAAGCAAACAGAATCATGTTTACTCAGGCCTTACATCATGTTTGCACATGCTTCTCTGCTTCTGATTTATGCTTCATCCCGGCTTCCAGCGCCAGCTCTTGTTCTCCTCACGCTTCAGCACCTTACAAGCGCTCTGATGCGGCTTCTCTCTCACGCGCCCGACGTTGCCGTGGCCCAGGCTGTGCGACCTCCTTCTAGTCTCAAGGAGCTGCCTCGCGCTCCCCAACTCTGTCTGCTTAGGCGCATATCCAAGCCCGGACTTTCCCGCCAAGCAAGCTGCACTGCGGCTGCACCTTGCTCTCCGAGGCTCTTGAAACACTCGTCCACCAGGGTTACCGTCGGTGCCTCCGACTCACACAGACCTCGACTGCTTCGTCACACTGCCCTGCCAAGGTTTTGGCGGATCCCGAGGTCATCTCCACCGACCTCGGCTTTGCATGCTCTGCACGCTTCGCCCTCGGTGGCTGATGCACACTTCGCTTCTGCAGCAAAGCGACCCTTCGCGCGTCCACTCGCCCTCTGGCGGCAAGGCCGTCCGGCTGTCGGGAAGGCTGTACCTTGTCTCGAGCATACACGTGCGAACGGCATGATGGCCTTTGCAAGGAAAGACAAGCCACATCCAAGAGCTCGTCCTGTAGGCTGCATTCATCTTCCAGAACCTCCCACTCCAGAAACACGAGCGTTGAGACTTTCCGGAGCCCGTTTGCTTGAACGCTGGGGCCCTGAGCCGTTGAAAGTAGATGATGGCCCCAGTGTCAGACTTGAAGAGTGGCTTCCCTTGGTGAAGGCCATCGAACTTGTAGCTGCCGTTGCAGGCCTCGGATGCGGCCAGGTGGCCCGAAAATAGGCCATGTGAGAGCTGGAGAATCTCAGGAGCTGGCGTCTCGCGCACCTGAAACTGTGATCGAGAGGATGGATATCCTGCCGTGATACAGGTGTCACCCCCTCAGCAACAAAAAGACGAGAAAGCGCTGTCTTTTCATCCAAGCTACGTCAGCCGCAACAGCCTGAAACTCTCTACAGTTGAGCTGTCCTCCGCTCATTGCCCAGAAGCTTGGCTTGCCTGCTGATTTGGCAAATCAGCGTATTGATGCTATATGGCCCACATCTTGCCCTCACAGGCCTCGTCTGGGCAGTCTCGGCCCCATTTCTGCTCTCCTGTCTTGACACCCTATCTCTCACAGAACACGCTGCGCAACGAGGGAAGTGGGAGATCCTGCACCCTCGGATCGGCAGTCAGATCCAGGGGCTTCGGAGACTCCAAGCCTCAGAGCTGCAGGGAGGCAAGCATCCGCGGTTTTAAAAGCCTGGGTGCCACCGAGCGCACTGCGCTTGCAAAGCGGGTCATCAAGAGGAATCGCTACCTGAGGCAATTGCAATTCCAAAAACGACCACGTTGCAGGAGGAAATGCAGCACTCACACTGAGCATGGCTTAGTGCTGCGCACGGTTGAACAGTTGTGACCCTGCCATGCTCCATCGCTGCGTCCGACGTATCTCAAAAGTCGATGGGCAATTTTCTGGCTTTATCACCTGCTTGAACGGTCACTGACGATTGGTCGCACAAGCTTTTGATTACTTGAAGGCTCAGGCTGGTGACCTTGGCTGCAACTAAGCGCAAGTGCAGGCAGCGGCAGCGGCCTCTATGTTGCTCTGGCATCAACAAACATCTTGAACGACACAGGACACAGGGTCCTCCCAGTCCACCAATGCAGGCGGAAACGCATCCATGACATGGAAGCTGGCACCAAGACTGCAGCACGCTGCTGTTCCGAAGCCGAAGCCTTCCACAGACTTGGGTCTATGTTGCATGCACCGGCAAGCGAGCTGAAGTATTGCTCAAACTTTCGAGGCTGATTAGCCCCTGATTCACATGCAGAAATCGCACTCCAGCCATAGAAGGCTGAGAAACCCTCTCCGCAAAGCAAACGGGAATCTGACATCACGCACAACTTGGCATCAGAACGTTTATACCTTGGAGAGGGCGTGAAACCATGAACTTTCGAGACCTATGACACCTCGGAGATCAATGCCCCACTGTCGTTCACAAGCCGGTTCCAGCGTGGCCCTCCCTTGTCACCCCACTTTGCACGCTCCTTCTTCAGAGCATCCATGATGCTCTGCCGCAATGCAACCGCCTCCGGATTAGAGACCTGCGTGTTGCGAGCATAATGGTCCACTACACGTGTGGCATCAGCCATCGCCTGATCCAACTCTCCCAGCTCGAACAAAGCACGTGCCCGCCGAAAGCTAGCTTTGAAGTTGGAGGGATTATCCATCAATGCCGCATTCGTGTCCTTGACCACCAAGCTCCAAGCAGCATCGGGACCGAACTGCAAGACCTCCTCGTCTCCTGCCTGAATCTGGTGTGTCAGCAAGAGGCTGCGGTTGGATCGAAGGATGCCCAGCAAGGATTGCAAATCTTCGTTGGCCTTCTCCTCGAGTGTGGTGTCTTTGGCGAGGAGGAGCTCACCGGCACGGATCGCCGCCGTAGTGACTCGTCGAGCATCGCTGATGCTGCCTTGGTTGAAATGCTCCTGAGCTTTCACCTTTGCGGCTTGAATGGCCTGCATGTCCAACGGCATGTCCACGTCCACGTTCTGCAACCAAAGCGCGGCCTTCTGCTCTGGGCTCTCAGAAACCTTCTGCCCGACCTCCTCGCTTGCAAAGAGCCCCTCAGAGGTTTCGACAATTAGGCTTCCGCCTTGCAGCCGAACATCATCCTGGTAGCCTCCGGCGTTTCCGGGACGAGATGTATACCCATCAGGCTGGGCAATGATGTCTAAGGTAGGATGGAGTTCGAGAAACTGCTTCTGATCTTCTGTGCCACTATGGTCAGTGCTGCCTGTGTCGGCTTGGTTGTTCGCTGCCCTGTCCTTGTAGTAAATCGTCTTGGGTGTGCGTGTCTTCTTCGGGACTTCGGCAGCCTCAGGTGCCGGTGCTGGCTTGCTCAGCGAGATATCATCATCATAGCGCGGACGTTGGGCCATCTTCTCTTTCTGAGAACGAATCGCTTCCTGAATTTGCTCGTCGCTGAAGCTAGCAAACAAGTCTTGCACTGCCACCTTCTTCGACACCTCAGCTGGCGTCTTCCCATCGCTGTCTGCCAAGGAGGGATCCGCGCCGTTCTCCAGCAAAAGCTTCAAAGCCGGCATCCAGCCGTGGAAGGCTGCTCGATGGAGCGGCGTTCGGCCATCTTTTGCCGGCTTGTTCGGGTCCGCCCCGGCTCGCAGCAGCTGGCCGAGCACCACCGTCTGGCCAGACATGGCAGCCTCAGAGACCGCCGTGTAACCATTCCGGTCTGCGAACTCGGTATCGGCCCCTTCCTCGAGGAGCTTTGCAACATCCTGGTGCCGACCGGCTGCAGCTCGTTCAATAAGCTCCTCACTCAGCTGCCTTCGTTTGGCAGCCGTGATTGCCATGGCTTCACTTGCCTAACCGGCGTCGGAAGATGCCTCAGATGATGGTCCGAAAGACATGGACATAATCCTCATTCGAGAAGGCTACACTCATCGTGCGTGCATGTACACTTGATGATGGAAGCTTGCCAGCACTCGCCTCTGAGCACAAATGTTGGCAGCACCTGCTGCACATGCACTCAACTGAGAGAGGAGAGCTTCCCACTGCAGAGCTACAGAAGACGCCACCCACAAGGGGGGCATGAAAAATCGAAGGAGATACGAGAGAAGACATGAGTGGGCCACAAGCAAATGCTCACTCTGTCTCCGTCGGAGTCTCCCCCACTGCTGCCGATTGGATTGCGGACACCTTCCACAAGTAGAAATGCAAATTATGTTGCTGCATGTGGCGAGAGCAAATCAATCTCAGACCCTGCGAGTTACTCACCTACCTGCTTCTGATGCGAGCTTCTGTCCTCTAGAACCCTGCGCAAGGCCTATGACTGGACAGCAAGATCGGCCACAGACATGAAGGCGCTTTTTCCGGGGAAGGCTTTCGCAGCTGCGTGGGCAGCCACGCTGCGGGTCCAAAGCATACTCGGGCTTCGTGCATTCGCACGTCTCAGGGCAGAGATTTGCCAAGGAAGAGATGAGCATGTTCCAGCCCTGGCAAACAGAGTCTCCATTGAACGGTACTCCTTTGGGCAAGCCCAGGTTTGAGAGGGCACTGCATCCATTCTCACGAGCTCGCCGTGAAATGTTGCTCAGTACGGCTAAACGTTCTTGGCCGGCACGAGTTTTCGGATTGCCATTGAATTGCGTCAGCCATATCTGTGGCCATGACGACCAGGCTTGATGCCATGCCGAATCAACAGCCGTGTCTTTGCACGGCACCTTGGCAGATGCTTTCTTCGCGTCATCCAGGCAAGGTTGTGGACAGCCTCCGGCACACAGAGATGAGTGCATCATGAGCACTATGCAGTGGTGCATTGCCTAAGTTAAACTGACTTTCGCGCGGGAGCCTGCCTAACGTGGACACCCGGAACCAGGGAAGGTTGGGATCATTGCAGCCGCAAGTTTTCGGGCACAGCATCCGCAGCAGCCGGGCTTCTGGGCGGAGGCAATCGCTCGCAAAGTCATTGCATGCATAGCCTGCAATGTCAGGCAGCTTTGCACGAGCACGGGGTGAAGAATGCAAGACACAACACAGACAACATGTCTAGTCTTCGCAAGCCGAGCCTGATTTCGGCTCGTAGCCGAGAGAAACTGCCACAGCCACGAGGAAGCTGCTGTCCTCCCACTGGGTGCAGCCATGAAGTATAGCAATGCCCCAGTCACTGATCGTCCCTCTAGACCACCTGTCGAAATCGCGGAGAGTTTGGGCAAGGACTGTGTATTTCAGAAAGCTGTTCTCATGGACCTCCTGTAGCATTTCATGCACCGCCAAATTGTTCAGCGTCAGATCTCCCCCTCCTTCCCCATAGGGAACCGTTCCAATGGCAACTGACAGTTGAACATCTGCGTTGCTTTTGAGGACGAAGTCTTGGTTCCCACCGCAATACTCACCCTTCACGTCTCGCATATCTTGACTGAGCGGGTGGATAAGGAACACGAATGACCATGCCAGTAGACCTGCTTTCCGGGTTCGGTTCAAGTTGTGCCGGATGCTTCCAAGGTCATTCAAAATCTTCACCGAAAGCTAATTACTGCACCCACTAACCAAAACACCAAGAACACGTCGATATGCTGCCGCCTGCGGTCACTGCGCTCAACAGCATGGATTCCACTTGGCTGGATCTGCGACTGTAGGTCGCAGTGAAAGGTTGCAAACCGTCCATTTCCACTTGAATTTGCCGGGGCATGAGTGCTGCGAAAATCTTTTCGTCGATGTCCATTATTGCCGCCAGTGCTACGCTGTTCACCATCAAGGATGCAATCGAGGTTGTCCCTGCCAACCACAGAACACCTGCACAAGCCAGCCCACAATCGGACATGGAAACAAAACAGCTGCCGGGTACGGGGGAAGATAACGGACCCGCATGGAAGGCATTTGTGCCGAAAAGCTTGGAGCGTACATGCTGCTACGAATGCGTGCGATGGGGTGTCGCCTGCATAGAGCAGCACTGCAGCGATGCACGACCGGATCACCGTCAGCAGGAAGTATGACAGAAAGCGGAAGTACGAGATGCGTATCAAGCGACCGCCTCGCATCTCGCTTTTCTGATCCCGTGGCACATTGGAGATTGCGTGCATCGTCGAGCAAATGCTCCGAATCTCCTCGAAGATGTAAAGACACCAGTGTAGAATGCACAAGGTGCTCAGGAGAGCCCCAGGTGAAAACCAGGAGCTTCCGTCTGCATTGTCAAAGCCCAAATAGGCGGTGATGTCACGCACCAAAGTCGCCTGTGAGTTTGCGACAATGAGCGTTTCATCACTGCCACAAACCCGAGCAACAAGGCTGGTAGGCGTGCTGTCCATGTAAGTCGAATCGTGGCCCACACCCAAGCGCCACTTCTTCGCAACAGCGAGCTGCGAGGCAAAGGCAGTGCCCCGAAATTCTGGCGACATGATGGCGATGCAGAACAAGGCCTGCATCATTGCATTGCCTATCATGAGGGCAAAAGCGATCAACGTGTCCATGGTGCCGCAGTCCAGCAGGCCGATCACAAGAACAAAGTTCCACACTGTTTCCCCAACATGTACGCGTTCACATGGGTCCTCCATGCAATTGAAATCGGTCTACGGAGTCAATGGCAACTTAGAACACATGTCATGTGAACATCGTGACCACCAACCTGGGATGGCGCCGATTCTTGCCGCACAGGTGGTAGCAGAACCGATTCCATGTCCAATGCTTTTGCCTGCACGCAACGTGGCGTAATCAAACCATGCATGGTCGCCCTTCAAATCCCAGACCTTACACTCCGGATGCACGCACCGTGAACGCCATGCCAGGGAAACCACATCCTACTTTGCATGGGCTGACTGATAAACTCACTCAGGCTGCAGATCCCAACGGTTTCTCACCAAGCAAAGGCCCTGGAGAGTATGGCCTGGCCTGTGGACGGGCAGCTTCATCGAAATTGCTGTGAGTCGGGACTGTGTTTCTCCCAGACCCTCGGCTGCTGGCCAATAGTCCATCCTCTTCCGTGCTCTGTACAAGGTGCGCTTCCAAGGCATTCAAGCGTGCCAAGATTGGTGACAAGCGCATCTCCAATGCTTCCTTAGCACAACTGCTTCTCTTGCAAGAGTACTCTCGGAAACATCTTCCAGCATCTTGGCCTGCGAGACATGGGCACGCCTCGACTTGTTCCCTCTCAGCACACCTTTCTCTCCAAACTCCAGTTCAGCTTTTGCAGCATGGCAGCACCTGTGTCTGTTTTCTGCTGCGGAACTCGGCATTCTTCTACTTCCCCCTGAACTCTCTGTCTCTCTGCCTGCCTTGCCACAGAGTTACATGCGGACATGTCGCGGAAAGCTCTCTGCGCAATTCATGCTCCAAGTGCAGCACTCCCGGATCCACTTTGGGAACGGGCATGTTTTCGGAAGAATCTGTAGCTCCAACACCTATTTTGAATAGTAACAACAACAAAAAGAGTCCGACCGTTGGATCATGAAGTTGTATGTCAATTCTGTTTTGTTTAATTTCTTTCTCAATCTATGCAGCAATCTACGCAACTGACAAGCCGCAACGCTGCGTGCGATGTGGCAGTTGACGCCATGCTCGGGAGCACATACAACTGAGTCCAGCTGCTTAGGCCTTCGCATTTGCTTGCAAAGCTCCGCCGGTTTAGCAACAGTCTTGCAACGTTCTAATTTAATGGTGTGTTCACACCTTCTCGCAAGCAGCATGCGGTGTGATGAGGCATGGACTGCCGTAGCGTGAAACAAACCAATCGATATTGCCGATCGCTTCGGATGCCGGGTACTGTTACCTGTGAGTGAAGTTCCAGTAGAGGCCTCCGCTGGCTGTGTTGGTAGCTAAAGAAAATGCAAAAGGGCAACCAGCGATGGAATGCGACGACACTTGCAATGCCGAGACCGTCCGGCAATGTTACGAGCTCCCACCCCCCACACACAGGAAGAGTGCAGTGGCAGCGCTCAGCCTCCCAGTTCCACCACTACTTCATGTTGCGGCAGGCCGACCGTGCCCCCAAAAGAATCCACCGCATATCGTGCCCCGCCATGTGCTCCGCGCTTTTCCCCAGTGCGCACTGCAAGTCCGGAAGCTCCGGGAGTTCACTGCAAAGTCGTTGTTCTTGTGTGCTTCAATGGCTCAGCGAGCCGGCAGGTAGCTGGGCGCAAGCAGCCCACATCTTGCGGTACAGGCGGTGCCTGCACACCAGGCAGGGGTCATGGTGCAGGTACCAATGCCGGCCACGCTGTCGCGCGCGACCTATGAAGCGTTCAAAAATGCGCCAACTTTTTCGCGCGCTTGGGGGCGGAGCACCGCTCTCCGCCCCTCCTCCCTCCCCCCCCACCCACGCAAAATCTAACCGAGATTGACGCCGAGCACGAGGTTGGCGTTTGAAAGCTTGAACGGGAATCCAGCTCGAAAGTTTGAAGCCACAGCGATGTGCACCGTGCAAGGGACGTAAGGTCGAGGACAGGTGGAGGACACAAATGATAGGGTCACGGAGCAGCTCCCTGGCTCGAGATTGAAAACTTGAAAGGTCGGAGTTTGAAAGATGGAACACTCCTAACTTGAAACTTTGAGAAATTGAACGATTGAAAATTCGAAAATTTCGAAAGCGTCGAAGTTTCAAAAGCTGGAGGTTTGAAGGTTTTCAGCATTTAGCTTCAAAGTTGAGGCTTTTAATCAGAAACACCGAGCTCGACCGTTCGAAAGCTTCAAACATCTTTTCTGACATTTTGAAATATTGAAGGAAGGTTTGTCATCTTGGTTCAAGCCATTTTGGCCCAAGTGAAAGTCAGGCTCAGGCGCATCGAGGCATGGAGCGCAAGCCCCGTGCTAGCGAGGCTTCTGGTGCGCGAGGCCTGGCACGCGGTGCCCACACGGCGGCGCAGTGACCCCGCGCCCGCAGGGAAGCACTGACTCAGGCTTTCCTAGACGTGCACTCGCGGTGCCGCGACAGTGGCTTTTGCATAGGGCTCCTGTTTAAATGAACTCGTGGTGGCGGCGGAGCATGCACTGCCCGGCCCTTGCTTGGACCACTGCGATCCCGGAACTCTTGACTTGTGTGGCGAAACGGAGCTAGCGGAGTTGGCGGCGGCAGCAGCAGCAGCAGCAGCAGCAACAGCCGCCGCTGCACGCTACGAAGTCGAGGCGCCAGCGATCGTCAGGGTCGACGCCGGGGGCCGGCGTCCGAGCAAGCCACTGCTGCGAAACGACCTGGCCTTCCGCAGTCGCACACGACCCGGATCCACGCATGTCCCAACGGCTTGGCTTGCCCTGGCACTGCTCGCCACGCTCAATTCGCATTGGGCCGGTCGCAAGCCTTTAAAATTATGGATGGCACTGCAAGCAGGCCGACCCTCCCATCCTATAGGTGGTAACGCGCAAGCAAGGAGCGAGAGAAGCTGGCCCGTCTTCCAGCTCAGCCAGGCAACGTGCAGTCCGCACGGCACAGCCACGGCATGGGCAGAGCGTCGGCCCATGCAGCCCAGTACGCAGCAGGAGCAAATCGCACTCCGCACATTGGAGCCCGAGTCCACCGAGGCGTGCCGCAAAAAACGCAAGGCGTCGGGCGGCAGCGACCGCGGGATGTGCATCGGTCTCGCCCAAAAGTGCTCGCCCGGAGCTCCGGCCGCTGCTGCGTGCAGTCAGTCAGTCAGTCCGTCCGTCCGTCCGTCAGTCCGTCAGTCAGTCAGTAAGCCTCGTGTAAAACACAAGGGCGGACATACCGTCTTACAGGCGCTTTGCGCGGCGAAGACAATATGTTTGGACGCAGCGACGCCATACGAATGAAGGCTGCTGCCAAATGTTAATCAAATTTTGTGTAGAACCCGCGACGTTCTGCAGACTTAGTTTCCTTAGCGACTGTCTACAGCTCACAGCAAAGCAGTGCGGTCGCTCACTCCCTTTTTTCGGCAGGGTATGCTCGGAATCGAAGTCTTGCAGCTTTCAGGATGCAAGGCTTTGCTGCCCCCTCTTTAGCTCCGAGCATACCGCTGTCTATCTACCCCCCCCGGCGTGCGGTTCAGGAGCGACCTGCAGACAGAAGTCGGCTGCTAAAGATTAGGGCGCCCGATTTTTATGCTTGCCAACTGCTGTGCCAGGATGCGTCGTTCGGATGTAGTTGCGCGATTCCTACCGGAGCTGCGAGCATGACAAGCGGCATAGCCGATCTCTCATGCATTCTATGTGAAAAACGTTGCAGGCGATTCCGGCTGAGTTCATCAGCCCAAGTATTGTATTCGCCTGCAATATGCGTGATTTGCATACTGACGTGGTTGCATGCGGACCACGTTGCCACTAGTTTCAGGAAATCACTGAGCGGTGGCGTAGTCGTGAATAGTTTGTTTATACCTGCTTCCGCGCTGGTGTTGTCGCAGGCAGAGGGCAGCGCGAACTTCCAGTGCTTGGCCTGAAGACGCGTCTTGGCCATCATTGCGAGTGCCAGCTGTGCTAGGGCTTCAAAACAAGCGATATACTTTTGCGGTGCTTCCACTAGCTGGGGCCAATGTCGGCGAACCTCGGCTATATCCCATTGCTCTGCGAACCATGCAAACTGGCTGGCTGTACTGATCCATCCCCCAATACCCACCAGGTTGCCATCGGCGCGGGCATCTGCTGCGGCCATGCAGTGCATGAGTGGGTACTGCTTGAGGGAGCGAATCCTGGATGATGCGAAGCATTGCGATAGCCATGTTAAGGCCGCTCGGCTTTCATTGCGTAGGTGCAGCTCGTTGCGGTTAGGGTCCTGCAATCTGACCCACTGCGGTTTGTGCGATGGTGGTACTCTAGGCACCGATGCTTTGCTTGTTATTGCTATGCTCCCGACTTCCAGGAGCTTGGCTCCTAAGGGAAGCCACAGGCCTGCTGGTCTGCTGCGAACCAC